CTCAGCACTGTTGGGAGGCGCACGGGCGGGGCAGATACGAGGTCAGGAGATCGGACCATCCTGAGTTAACAGTGTGAAACCCCAGATCTCTACTAAAAATACCAAAGAAATTAGCCAGGCGTGGTGGCGGGCGCCTGTAGTACCAGCTACTGGGAGGCTGAGGCGGGAGAATGGCATGAACCCGGGAGACGGAACTTGCAGTGAGCTGAGATCGTGCCACTGCACTCCAGCCTGGGTGACAGAGCGAGACTCCATCTCAGAAAAAAAAAATTAGCCAGGCACAGTGGCGCATGCCTATAATCCCAGCTACTTGAGAGGCTGAGGCAGGAGAATCGCTCGCACCCAGGAGGCGGAGGTTGCAGTGAGCTGAGATCACGCCATTGCACTCCAGCCTGGCGACAGAGCGAGACTCCGTCCATCTCAAAAAAAACCAAAAAAACAAAAAAAAACAAAAAAAAAACCAACCACAAAACAAAAAACAGAAATGCAATAATAATACAACTGTCTCAGATTTTACACATCCACAACCTACTGCCTTTAATCCTGGATACACAAGGTATCAGGATGCTGACTCGAAGGAGGACAGGCCATTTGTACTGGCCTAGGAGACAGTAAATAAATGTTACTTACAGGAGACAGCATCTTCAATCTGTGTCACATTAGCAAAGTGAGCAGTGTTTGGGATGCCCAAACACCTCATGCCATGAGCGTGACGCCATTCCTGGGAGAAGAGAGAAGCAAAAGGATCATGTGAAATGGGAATAGCTGAACACACAGAGCACTAACTCCATTCTACTCATAAATCCTAACATGGCCCTTTACAAGACTCCACCGAAAGGCAGCATTCCTTTTGTGTTTCATGTTTGTAAACCGCTGGCTGTGACTGACAAAAGGCTGGTATTTCAAAGATGCATCGCATTGTTTGCCTCACTGGGTTGGCTTGTAAACCTAGATTCCAGACCCAGTAGTCTTACACATAAAACCTCTGGGTCAAGATCACAGGAAAATATCACAACTCTAACTACATCTCCCATATTGCGGGAGAACTCACCAAAGCCCCAGCAACTCCAAACACCTGCATGAATAGGGTTACTAATGGCAGGTCAGCATCATCTTTGTAGGTAAAAGAGAAGACTTTTATCAGGCACAACGATGTGGTGAGGAGAGAGCAGGGAGATTATACACTGACATGATGGCAGTTTTAGCTAAGGGATGGTAAATGGCACAGGCTTTATCTGGATGCCAACTCCAATCATTGTAGGAGGTGCTGAGAAGGATTCAGAACTCACTCATGGGCTCAGCAAAAAAGACTCAGGATCAATTAGTAATATGTATGACTCAGAGAGGGGGAGAGGAGTTCATATAAATTTGTCATCCTTGGTCTAGCATAAATCTTTTCCATTCTGTAAAATGTCCTTCCAAAATCTAAGAACTAAAAGTAGAGCCCACTTAGAGGTGAGCCCACTTACAGCAGTACCACCTGGACAATACCCTGTCTCAAGAATGGTTTGATAAAGATCAGCCCCTTCATTTTTTTTTTTTCTCAAGAGACAAAGATCCATTTATGATCCAAAAGAGGTAAGTCCTATTCTTGATCTTGAGTATTAGCAATGGGGTAGAGAAATAACCAAGAAGTCAGAAGTTGGTCTAAAATGCTAGCAGAAAGACAAAAACAGAGAAGTGTTAAGAGCAGGCAAGAGAAAACCAAGTAAGGTTTAAAGAGTGGAGTGGTAGAATTCCTCCAGAAACTATCTCAGGTATTTAAGACTAACATTGGTGCCAAAAGTCAAACGCCATGGGCTTGATTTTAAAACCATCCTTCTCTGATTCCCTTTGGCTCTGGACACCAGAGGTCCACATAGGCTACTCCTACTCTCTTCTCTAAAAGTCTCATGTTTTTACTTCAATTCCCCGAAAAATGGCTCTGAATTCCTTACAGCAAAGTGTCGCTGGAAGGCTTTGGGTCCTCGGTAGGTGTAGTTTCCACAAATCTCACAGTTGTAGTTGATATTTAGGCCATGAAGTTTATACAGCCAGTAGGGAATAGGCTAAAAAAGAAAAAAGAAAAAAAAACCAAGAAGTAGTGTTAGCCTGCTAAACTCTGTATCTGTTTCCAAAATGGGGAATGGGGAGAAAGTGGTAGTTCTGAGACTTACTTTGCCATCCCAGCCAAGTGGCAGGTTTTTGGGGTTGTAAATGATCTCGTTCTCTTCATCTTCACTCTCACTCTCACTGATCTGCTCTTCTTCCTCTTCTTCTCGCTCTTCTCCTGTCCTGGCTTGCTTGCGCTGTACATTTTCATGAGTGAGATGTCGCTGTTCCTAAGGCAGGTCCATAAATGAAAAGTCAGAAAAAACTAGTGCAGAATAAGATGGGAAATTTCCTGTTTTCCTCCAACTTTTGCTGACCCCTTACTTCCAAGGATAAGGTTCTTTCGTATAGAATAAAGGAAAATCTTGCCTTCATATCAGAACTCCTTATCAGCAGGCTCTACCTGAACCCAAAGCAAAGAGTAAAAGGTTTTACATTACTTGCCTGATTACTCATCTGAGGCTATTCTAGAACAACAGAAAACAGTCTCATCTATTCTGACTCTAAAATATTTCCTGGCTGGGTGTGGTGGCTCAAGCCTGTAATCCCATCACTTTTGGAGGCTGGGGTGGGAGAATCACTTGAGGCCAGGAGTTTGACATCAGCCTGGGCAACACAGTGGGATCCCATCTCTACAAAACATTTACAAATTGGCTAGGCATGGAGGTGTGCACCTGTGGTCCCAGCTATTCAGGAGGCTGAGTTAGGAGGACTGCTTGAGCCCAGGAGTTTGAGGATGCAGTGAGCTATGATCCTACCACTACACTCTAGCCTGGGCAACACAGTGAGACTCCATCTCAAAAAAAAAAAAAAAAAATGCACCCAATACAGGAGCACCCAGATTCATAAAGCAAGTCCTTAGAGACCTACGAAGAGACTTACACTCTCATACAATAATAATGGGAGACTTTAACACCCCACTGTCAATATTAGACAGATCGACAAGACAGAAAGTTAACAAGGATATCCAGGAATTGAACTCAGCTCTGCACCAAGCGGACCTAATAGACATCTATAGAACTCTCCACCCCGAATCAACAGAATATACATTCTTCTCAGCACCGCATCACATTTATCTCAAAATTGACCACATAGCTGCAAGTAAAGCACTTCTCAGCAAATGTAAAAGAATAGAAATTATAACAAACTGTCTCTCAGATCACAGTGCAGTCAAACTAGAACTCAGGACTAAGAAAATCAATCAAAACCGCTCAACTACATGGAAACTGAACAACCTGCTCCTGAATGACGACTACTGGGTACATAACGAAATGAAGGCAGAAATAAAGATGTTCTCTGAAACCAATGAGGACAAAGATACAACGTACCAGAATCTCTGGGACACATTTAAAGCAGTGTGTAGAGGGAAATTTATAGCACTACATGCCCACAAGAGAAAGCTGGAAAAGATCTAAAATTGACACCCTAACATCACAATTAAAAGAACTTGAGAAGCAAGAGCAAACACATTCAAAAGCTAGCAGAAGGCAAGAAATAATTAAGATCAGAGCAGAACTGAAGGAGATAGAGACACAAAAAACACTTCAAAAAATCAATGAATCCAGGAGCTGGTTTTCTGAAAAGATCAACAAAATTGATAGACTGCTAGCAAGACTAATAAAGAAGACAGAAGAATCAAACAGATGCAATAAAAAATGAAAAAGGGGATATCACCACCGATTCCACAGAAATACAAACTACCATCAGAAAATACTATAAACACCTCTACGCAAAAAAACTAGAAAATCTAGAAGAAATGAATACATTCCTGGACACACACACCCTCCCAAGACTAAACCAGGAAGAAGCTGAATCCCTGAATAGACCAATAACAGGTTCTGAAATTGAGGCAATAATAGCCTACCAACCAAAAAAAGTCTAAGACCAGACGGATTCACAGCTGAATTCTACCAGAGGTACAAAGAGGAGCTGGTACCATTGCTTCTGAAACTATTCCAATGAATAGAAAAAGAGGGAATTCTCCCTAATTCATTTTATGAGGCCAATATCATCCTGATACCAAAGACTGGCAGAGACACAACAAAAAAAAAGAGAATTTTAGACCAATATCCCTGATGAACATCAATGCAAAAATCCTTGATAAAATACTGGCAAACCAAATCCAGCAGCACATCAAAAAGCTTATCCACCATAATGGTGTTGAATTTTTTTCTTGTAATTTGTTTAAGTTCTTTGTAGATTCTGGATATTAAGCCCTTTGTCCAGTAATGAGTAGATTGTAAAAATTTTCTCCTGTTCTATAGAGTTGCCTGTTCCACCTGATGATAGTTTCTTTTGCTGTGCAGAAGCTCTTTTAGTTTAATTGAATCCCATTTGTCAATTTGGCTTTTGTTGCCATTGCTTTTGCTGTTTTTAGTTATGAAGTCCTTGCCCGTGCCTATGCCCCTGAATGAATTGGCCTAGGTTTTTCTTCTAGGGTTTTATGGTTTTAGGTCTAACATTTAACGTCTTTAATCCATCTTGAATTAATTTTTGTATAAGGTGTAAGGAAGGGATCCAGTTTCAGCCCTTTCTAGCATATGGCCTAATCCGTTTTCCAGCACATTTAATTTAGGGATCCTTGCCCCCATTTCTTGTTTTTGTCCAGGTTATTGTCAAGATCATTGTGTTTGTAGGATGTGGTGTATTATTTCGCAGAGGAGCTCTGTTCTTGTTGGCATTGGTCATATCTCTGTTTGGTACCAGTACCATGCTGTTTGGTTTACCAATAGCCTTGTAGTCATAGTTTGAATTCAGGTAGCGTGATTGCCTCCAGCTTTGTTTTTTGGCTTTAGGGATTGTTCTTGGCAATGTGGGCTCTTTTTTGGGTTTCCATATGACTTTAAAGAAGTTTTTTTCCGCAATTCTGTGACGAAAGTCATTTGGGTAGCTTGAATGGGATGGGCATTGAATCTATAAAATTATACCTTGGGGGGCAGTATGGCCATTTTCAGCAATTATTGGAATTCTTCTAATACATCGGAGGCCATCGGAAATGTCTTCGCATTTGTTTGTGTCCTCTTTCTATTTCATTGAGGCCAGTTGGTTTGTAAAAGTGTTCTTGAAGAGGTCCTTCCCACATCCCCTTGAAAGTTGAAAATTCCTAGTATTTTATTCTCTTTGAGTGATATGATGGGGTTCACTCATGGATTTGGCGATTTTTGGGCTGTCTGGTTCTTGGTGTAATAGGAAATGCTTGAGTTTGCACCCTGATTTTGTATGCTGAGACTTTGCTGAAAGTTGCTTATCAGCTTAAGGAGATTTTGGACCTGAGAGCGTATGAGGGTTTTTATTACAAGTATACCAGTCGATGTCAATCCGCAAACAGGGGACCAATTTTGACTTCTTCTTTTCCTAACTGAATACCCCTTTATTTCTTTGTCTTGCCTGATTGCCCTGGCCAGAACTTCCAGCACTATGTTGAATAGGATTGGTGAGAGAGAGGGCATCCCTGTCTTGGTGCCAGTTTTCAAAGGGAATGCTTCCAGTTTTTGCCCATTCAGTATGATCTTGGCTGTGGGTTTGTCATAAATGGCTCCTTGTTTAT